TTGCCATTGAGCAAACTTTGTATTAACATTTTGATGAGATATGCATGTAATAAGTACTTGACTTTGATGCTATTATAATTTGTGATATATGTGTGTTTGGACATCCTAAAGCACATATATGAGTACTTGGTTTTGCTATGCAAAATTGGGTGCGATAATACACAACACATTTACACATAAGTATGATTCTCATGCAAGAGCTTTTTAGCAAAAAGATCGGTATAGTGTAATAATCGAGGGTGTTACATCCTGCCGGGAGACGGTTAAGGAGCAAAGTGGAATGTCACATGAGGGCTAGTGTCGACCCCTGTCATGAACGATGGACCCGGATTTCACTCCGGACATGCCCGTTATGCGAGCCCTCACGAAAGACGACACTCGAGCCATCGAGGCAAGTGTCGTTAGCTCCACTCCTCCGATTCAAGGAAACCATGGATGTGGTGATGCATAAAACTCGACCGACCCTTATCGAGCCAATCAGGGGCTCGGGCTCGAAGCTGGGCGCAGTCCCTACTTAGGAACCCGACCGACGGTGGCGAAAGCTGTGGTCGAGAACAAACACGGGCGAACACCCCAACCGAAGAAAGAAACACAGAGTCCGTGAGCTCCCAAAAAGAGTACCAAGGTGCTTAGCCTATGATCGATTCACCAACCGGCTGCAGGCTCGAGGGCTACACTCACCTCTGTCTCGCCTCACCCTTGGGTTCACGCTCCGTCTCGCCGACTCCTCGGCAGCGCTCGACCCTTGGGTTCGCGTTGCTTCGCTGGCCGATCTCGGCGCGCTTGACCCTTTGTTCGTGCTCCCGTCTCGCCTGAACCCTCGGCGCGCCAGCACTTTTGGTTCAGGTGCTCCGTCTCGCCTAACCCCAAGGCCACGCCAGAGGCTCCATCTCGCCCGACGCCGGGTTCAAGGCCCGCTGTCGTCAAGCGGCGACCCCACAACCTTACACCCACCGGGTGCGCTTCGTGAAATGAGTGTAAACAACCCCTTCATGACTTCACGAAGTCCCAAAGGGGGCTCAGGCTCTGTCGGGTTCATAAACCCGGTCCCTAATGGATCGGTTCCTCAGAAAACTGGCCCAATAGGGCGGCGAATAGCGACAACGCTGCGTGCTCAGGCGCCCAAGTAATATAATGACAGCCAGATAACGATTCGGTCCTCGAATCGGACGGGGTTCGCCAAGGTGGGACCGCAGATCGACACCGACCTCCTTTCTCCGACCGAGGATACACTAGACCTCTACCCACGCTCTTTTTCGACCGGCCGAACGATCGACTGGGACGCCTTGCTTTCGGTGAGGGCTCAGGATCAAAGGAGCAGATAAGGTGGCGCTCAAGTCAACCACAATAATGAGGATCGTGATCGCCATGTCTGCGCACACAGACCAGTGTGCCACTGTGTTACCATGCGGGGACGGGCACTATACAACCTTCCGATGCGTGTCGGAGCACAAACAGTATTGTAGGCGTCGACATTTGCCGTACCAGACGAACATGGTAGAGCATGCTAGATGCGTCTGAACATAAATAGTGTTGTAGACGTCGATAACCGTCTCGTACCCGACAGCGTGGGCAACAACACTAGGTAGCACACGTATACACACTCTCTCTCTCTGACTTGTAAGGTCGTCCCCTTCAAACTATAAAAGGGGATGAGCTCTCTCGAGAAAAAAGAAAGAAAGGGCTAAACAACTCGAGGACTCGACGACCTGAGGACTCGAACATCTCAATAGCTTTAGAACTCGACAGCTATACAGAGCATACGCTCCAATACTTAGCGCACGTTAGAGCTTCCGTCACTCTCGGCCACTCGTATCGAAGTCCGACCGGACCTCTAACACCCCCTTCTCATTCCTACTCGTTTGTAACCCCACAACAAACTTCGAGCACCTGGGCTCAGGAATAAAATCACCGACCGATTGAAACTGAACGTAGGGCACGTTTCCTGAACCAGTATAAATCATGTGTCATTGAGTGCTAGGCCACATTCGATCACAACGCACGACAAAACTACAAATATTTATTTGTTGGTCATTTTTTGCACCGACGGAGTAAGAGACGAAAGAAAAAATTTGTGTATCTTCAATACTAAATATAATACAAATATAGGTATCCTACATGGTAAATGTCTACCGTGAGGTCATAAGCACAAATACAAATATGCAAAGAGAGTAATGATAACGATGATGAAGGCCCCATTTGAGAAAGGTCTTCACAGCTGCCGCTCCCATTTCTAACACGAGCACACTGCAGTGTTTTATGAAGCAGTTTTCTAGCACTCGGCCGATGAAGCTGGCTTTTTTAACTCTGTCTCCTCCTGTTACTCTAGCTTCAGCGTGGAGCCGAGCCTAGGAGGATTGCAAAGATGATGAAGTGCTGAGCTGCTGGCTAAAACTGATAAGTGCTGAAACCTACGTACGCTACGCTACACCACACAGGGCTATCCCTATCCCGTCATCGCCTGGCGTTCTACATTGATGCATGCATGGCATCGGCATGGTGCACCGTTGCCGGCGCAGCGGTCAATGGACCAGAGCAGACAGTCTTGCTTGCCGTCCGCAAAGCTTTGGCGTGCCGCCGTGTTGAAATGGACGCGAAGACTTTCTGCTGCCCCCCTTTGCTGCGCGCTGGGTGGCTGCTCCTGTGGAGAATGGAGAGGGAGAGGGAACCAGCGACAAGAGGAAGCAGGGCGAGTGATCGACGCAGGGCGGCAGCGGCAGCGGCAGCGTCAGGGCCACGAGTGAAATCCACCATCTGGGGCCACGCCCTGCCCTGGAATCAAAAATCACTTTCCGCGGTGAATGGTGATGGTTCGACCGCGTCTACACGGACACGGCCGCAGTCTCGTGTCAGCAGCATTTCCCACAGCACAGAGGTGTCTTTTCCAACCATATTGTATATACAGTAGTATCTTTGGATTGGATAGGTCCGGTTTAGGGCCCGTTTAGATGAAAAAATTTTGGATTTTTTTTTTTTTTTGCTAATGTAGCACTTTCGTTTGTATTTGTCAATTAGTGTCTAATTATGGACTAATTAGGTTCAAAAGTTTAGATCTCATGATTTCTCACCCAATCAATCAAATTAGTTTTTTCCATCTACATTTAGTACTCCATGCATGTGCCACAAAGATTCGATGTGTGCGATGCTACAAAAAATTTTGAAATCTAAACGGGGCCTTAGTTCCAAAAAATTTTACCCCAAACTATCCCATCGAATCCTCGTGATACATGCGGAGTATTAAATATGAGCGAAAAAAAACTAAGTGCTTGATTTAATGGAAATCGTGAGACAAATGTTTTAAGACTAATTAGTCCATGATTAGCCATAAGTGCTACAGTACTAATATGCGCTAATGATACATTAATTAGGCTTAATAAATTCGTCTCTCGCAGTTTTCAAGCGAGCTATGTAATTATTTTTTTTATTAATGTTCGAAAACCCCGATATCCACAAAACATCCGATGTGACGTCTCGAACTAAACGCACCTTAGGGCTTGTTCTCTTTGCAAATTTTTTCAACCCGATGAATAGTACCACTTTCGTCTTATTTGACAAATATTGTCCAATCGTAGACCAACTAGGCTCAAAAGATTCATCTCGTGATTTTCAACTAAACTGTGTAATTAGTTATTTTTTTTATCTACATTTAATACTCCATGCAAGGGGCTAAAAATTGATGTGATGGAGAGAGAGTGAAAAAACTTGGAATTTAGATGGCATCTAAACAAGGCCCTAACCTCACCTGCATTCCTACGAGCAATGGAGTACTGTAGGAGTACTAGCTAGTCTTCTGAATTTCTGATTTGTTTGGATTGGCAGGGCATGGGTTTCAGCCTTTTTCTGGGAAACTCAAACATTCCAATTTCAAACATGTGCGTCTCCGAGAGGAGGAAACCCAAACATTTTTTTTTATCTTTCAAGACCACTCAACGTCCCACAGGTACAGTACAGCGACCCTATTATTATTTTCGGAGAAAATCAAACGCCCATGTTGTGCTGCCGTCACTTTCCCGCTGTCTCCTTTCGCTGACAGCAGCGACGTCTACTGCTCGTCGTAGTACATGTACGTGCTCCAGTAGTAGAGTGGATAATAACGCACAGATAAGGCTCCGTTCGACTGATACATAAGCCGCAAGCTGTTTTATTGCGAGAAGTAGATTTTCGCTGATAGATCGACGGCTTCCGCAGCACAGCCACGGCCGAAGCGGAGCCTCGCTATTGAGCGCTGACGCGACGGGGGAATTATTAAAGGGATGATCCCAACTTGTTTCACCACCCGACGGGGATAACAACGCCTGCCTTTGGTTTTGTTAATTCAGATTCATCCCGTCGCGGTCGCTATCCCTGTCTGATTTTTTATATTTATAAATAAAGCGGCTCCCAAACTCAGACTCAGACTCCTGTCCTTGGCTGGCCCTCCTAATTTGGACCCACTAATCATCATCACCATCACACCCGGTCTCAACAACGCAATCATTCATAGAACAATAAAAAAATCAACAGAAACAAATTAAAGAGAGGAGAAAGAAAAAACTAATGAACTAGCAAGAAGCTTTTGCTCCTGCATTCGCTTGGCTTGCTTCACTTCACTTGCTTCCTGCACAAAAGCTAGCGCACCATTTTTTTCTTCCTCCATGATTGGGTCCCCTGGTTGGTTCCTCCTCCGTCCAATCATCCAAACCACACTCCGGCGACAGCTCAGGGCGATCCTCACGCCAACAAGACACCAAAATTCTTAGCGCTAACACACCTATCCGATGCGGATGCTTTGCTACCAGAAAGATGCGATCATGGTGGCGGGCGAATTCCCTCATCGTCATCGCCAGCGAGCTTACTGTGAGCTGTTGTTGCCGTCGTTCTCTTCAGCGCTGTCGTCGCCGTCGTTGCCCCCGCCGCCGTCGCCGCCGTGCTGCTGCTCCCCCTCGGGCTGCTGGTGCTGCTCCTCGCTGCCACCGCGATTGTACGCATTCAGCGCGGCGAGCATGCCAAGGTTGGTGTCCGACATGGCTCCTCCTCCTCCTCCTGCAGCGCCGCTGGGGTAGCTGGCCCTGGACATGAACTGGAGCGGTGCCTGCACGGTGCCCGTGCCACCGCCGCTGAAGGACCACATGGGCTGCTCGGCGGGCCGCGCGGCGGCGGCCGAGCTCGCGGATACGGGCAGCATCCAGAACCCACCAGATGGGGCCGCGGAGTTGGGTGCCACGGCCCACATTGCGGCGGAAGGCGGCGGCGGCGGCGTCGCCGCCTGCTGCTGCTCGCGCGCCTTGGGCGCGCTCGGATCTTGGCGGTCGTCGTCCTCCTTGAACAGGTCCTCGCGGTAGCGCTTCCGCATGTAGGCGTCTCCGCCGGCGTTGGGGTCCTGCTGCGGCGGCGGCGGCGGAGGGAGGAGGTGGTGGTGGTACCCGGCCATCATGGCGGACATGTCGTGCTGCGCGGGGCCCGCGTGGTGGTGGTGGTGCGGGTGGAGCGCGAGCGCCGGGAACGGCGCGGCGCGGGCGGCGGCGGGGTTGGCGGCGCCGGAGCGGATGGAGATGTTGAGCGAGGAGTAGTTGGCCGGGATGGTGCTGCCGGTGCCCGTGGCCGCCAGGATGGCTGGCTCCGCCTGCTGCAGCAGCCACTCGATGGTCTCGCCGTCCGACTTGTGGCCGAGCTCGCGGGTGAGCTGGAACACCCGCGCCGCGCACAGCGCCGGCATCCGAATCCGCCGCCCCCGCCCGTCCACCTTGGTGTGGCGGTCCTTGGACGGACGCTTCGCCGCCGCCGGCACCAGCGCCTTCTTGTTGTCGGCGCCGCCCGCGGCAGACGACGTCTGCGGCTGCTCCGGGACGGGCGTGATAGCTAGCGCGCCCGCGAACGCCGACGCCTGCTGCTGCTGCTGAGGCTGCGACACTCCGGAGTTGGACGCCCCCGGGCCGGCGTAGTAGAACGGGTGGTGGTCGCCGCCGCCAGCGGCGGCGTTTGCCGCCCCGCCGCTGTTGCTGCTCGACGGCGCCCCGCCCCCTCCTCCTCCACCGCCGCCGTGATCCATGCTCCTGCCCGAGACGCCCGCCTCCCTGGCTCCGGCACACAAAGGAAGCGCCGAAGACCCTTCCTTTACAGGTAGGAAGCCGGACGGAAAGGCTGCGCCTTTCGCTGCTTCCGGACGCGGTGTGGCGGCGGCGGCCGGAGGTAGCGCGGAGGAGGAGAGGGAAGGGGGAGGAGGGAGCACGTGCAGGGCACGCACGGTGGGGGAGGGAGGAGAGGCGGCGCGGGGTTGGGTGGGGCGCGGGTGGGGTTGGGAGGGAAGAGAGGGAGGGAGGAGCCAAGGGGGGAGCGGGGGCGGATGGAGAGACAGAGAGAGAGAGAGAGGGACAGACAGCTCAGGGTGGCCGGGTGGGGCTCTGCGGCGCGGGCCTTTGCTGGAGTACTCTCTCGTTTATGCTGCCGCCTTTTCGGCAATTCTCCTATAAAACCCTAGAGCAGATATTGAGTGGCGTCTCCTCTCGTTTTCACATTCCCACTTTGGTTGCGCTTTGATTGGTGGACAGCCGACTCCCAAATTCGCTCATCAAAAGTGGGCTGAGGTGGTTTGTTTCTAATAAAGAAAAAAAATGTGGTACACACGTGAAATTGCACGGTTGCACCATGTTTATTACTGTCAATTGTAGTGTTCCAACAGAGATTAGGATTAATATTAGTATTAAGATGGCATGTATGGTAACATGACAGAATCGCTTCCGTCATCATTTTAGGTTGTCGCCCATCTAAACCTTGAAACTCACCTGGAAATAAGAAAACAGACGACGGCAAGACCTCCAGGAACATAATATTGTCGATATGATATTTTACTACACCATTTTATCTACTCTATATATATGGTTTTCTTTTTAATCAAACTTTAGCGCGAAGCTAAACGGTTACACTCTTCTAGTCTCGTACAACTACTTTATATCTACGATCATATCTTTTGGCTTCCGGCTATGGACTATTAGCGCATAACACGCAAAAAGCCAATAGATGCACCCGACCGCCAATAGATGAAACGGCAAAACGGGCTAGTTCTTACGTGTTGGTTCTAATATTGTTGATACGGTTATTTACTATGTCTTTTTTCCTACTATATATGTGGGATTTTTAATCAAACTTTAGTGTGAAGCTACACGGTTATCTTTTTTTAGTCTCATACAACTATTTTATATCCACGGTTATATCTTTTGGCTCCAGGCTATAGACTATAAGCGCAAAACACACAAAAGCCAATATAATAGCCACACTCAACCGCCAAAAGATGAAACATGCAAAATAAGCCAATTCTTACTCGTTGAATCTCATATTATGGATATGATTTTTTACTATATCGTTTTTCCCTACTCTATATGTGGTTTTTTTAATCAAACTCTAGCGTGAAGCTAGACGGTTACCTTCTTCTAGTCTCGTATAACTATTTTATATCCACGATTATATCTTTTGGCTTCAAGATATGGACTATAAGCGCAAAACACGCAAAAGCCAAATAGCCGCACTCAACCAACAATAGATGAAACACGCAAAATAAGCCAGTTCTTACGTGTTGGTTCAGATATTATGGATATGATTTTTTACTATATCGTTTTTCCCTACTCTATATGTGGCTTTTTAATCAAACTCTAGCGTGAAGCTAGACAGTTACCTTCTTCTGGTCTCATATAACTATTTTATATCCATGATTATATCTTTTGGCTTCAGGGACTATAAGCGCAAAATATGCAAAAGCGAATAGACGCACCCAACCGCCAATAGATGAAACATGTAAAATGAGCCAGTTCTTACGTGTTGGTTCTAATATTATGGATATGATTTTTTACTACATCTTTTTTCCCTACTCTATATGTGGCTTTTTTAATCAACTGTAGTGTGAAGCTAGATTGTTACCTTCTTATAGTTTCATATGACTATTTCATATCCACGATTATATCTTTTGGCTTCATGGACTATAAGCACAAAATATGCAAAAGCCAATAGATGCACCCAACCGCCAATAGATGAAACATGCAAAATGAGTTAGTTCTTACGTGTTGGTTCTAATATTATGGTTATTACACCTTTTCCTACTCTATATGTATTTTTTAATCAAACTTTAGCGCGAAGATAAATCGTTACCTTCTTCTAGTCTCATACAACTACTTTATATCCGCGATCATATCTTTTGGCTTCAGGCTATGGACTAAGCACAAAACACACAAAAATCCAATAGACGCACCCGACCGCCAATAGATGAAACACGCAAAACGAGCCAGTTCGTACGTGTTGGTTCGCCAAATGACACTAGCTACATAGAGTTTCATGTCAGTCCTAGAACCGATTTGAACCACAAGATATATTTTGAAACCTTTTTACCGTCAATTCGTCACGTTTACAAAACAATCCAAGGATCAAGACAAAACATAAGACAACTTTTGCTATCCTTCAAAGAAAACAAGGCAAAAGGTTTCTGTAAAACCAAGTTCTTATTTATGTTATAGCATTTTCGGTGATTCTATTCCATCAAACCCATGTAGAGCAGATGATGGAGTGTCCCCTCTTGTTTTCACATTCTCACTTCCGGCTCCATTTTGATGGGTGGATAAGCATGTTCGAAGTTTCGTTTCTCAAAATTGGGGTGAATTGGTTTTCTAGAGAAGAAAATATGGCACACACGGAATGCATTTGTTAGTTATTATATCAATTGTAGTATTTCTTTCAATAGATACCACACATAGCGCTTAAAATCAATATTAGTATTAAGATGGTATTTATGTTACATAAGAGACTCACATGTCATCATGGATGTGAAAACTAATGCTAATGAATCATTTTTTGCCATTGTCATGAATGAATATGATGGGACTTTTGTTGCCATGCAACGACCATTGCATGATTATAAAAAGCCGTTGATTGTGATAACAATTTTGTCGCATAAACTCGAAATGTGACACCGCATTTGAATCGCTTCTCGTCTAACATTTTACATGTGTTGCCCACCTAAAAAACAACTTTTACTAGGGCTCAAAAACTTTGCTTGATCAAACCACCTAAAAACCCCAAAGATCGCCTTTGAAAATAAGCAAATCAAACAAGACGAGACCTAAGAAACCAAATGTTGTTGATGATGCTTTAGACTAGACGAGTTTTTCCTTCTTTTCCTACTTTTACTGCTTTTTTGTTAGTTCCGGCACAAAGCTAAAAGTGTTACCTTCTCTTGGTCTCGTACATCTAGTTTAGATCCATAGTTATCTCTTGTGGCTTCATGCAACTGAACTGTAAGAGCAAAAGCGGGAAAAGGCGTGGTGGCACCTAATCGTCGATAGACTAGACACACGGAGACGGGATAGCTCTTACATGTTGGTTCGCCTAATAGCCCCGACTATATGACGTTTTAAGTCAATCATCCTAGGACTCGTTTGACCCATAAAGGTCGTCTTAGAAAACAAGTCAAAGGACCAGGATAAGCATTCGTCTTGCTTGTTTACTATGACGTTTTAGACAAGAGGAATATAGCCTTTGTGTCTTGCTCGCTTTTTGTTATATATGAACGTTCGGGTTTTTTTTTCAAACGTAGTAGTGCCCCTTCGTTCAAAATTACATGTCACTTTAATTTTGTAGAAAGTCAAATTTCTCCAACTTTAATCAATTTTGTTAGGAAAATATACTTATTAACTTATATAAGTTGAAATAGCTCATAGATGTTGGTTCGTATTTTATATAAGCATTATCAAAGTTAGAGAAAAGTCAGCTTAGAACAAAACTGAAGTAGAATGCAGACTATAATTGGGCAGGAGCGAACAGCACTCAAATCAAATCAAATAATATAAGTCGAGTCATCAAATGCTGAGTTGCAAGGCATATTCTTAACATGATGGTTTCCCCAAAAGTCGGTGGTGGTGATAGGTGATAGGGCAGAATTTTCGAGGGCAGAATTTTCCGAGGGCCATGGCCGATTCACCGGAGTGGAATTCTCCTGTAAACAAAAGGCAAAAGACCCTTTTTCCCTCTTTTTGTGCTGCGCTGCTGCTTTCCGCAGGGTCCTTTTTAATTTGTTTTGGAGGGAAGGGAAGGCAGGAGCGGTGGCGGGAAAAGAGAAGAAGGTGTTTAGCGTAGGCCACCCGTGGGGCCTCGGAATGCATGATGAGCAGGGATCTCCATCTCCCCCCTTCCCCAGAGAAAGAAAGAAGTGTGAAGCGAGGGTGAGGTGGTGGGATGGCCTCCTGGCTCTCCCTGCCTCCTTTCCGGCCTTTGCGCCAGGCACGGCCAAAAGCCTCTCCGTGCCTGTCTCTCTGCCGCACGAGCCCCACATGCGATCTTCCTCTCTCTTTTTTCCCCCAGATCCTAGCACACACATGGATGGATGAGCAGCAGTCTGATACTGGTGCTCTGCTAGTCTGATCCCTTCCATGTAAGCAAAGCATGCTGGTAATCTCGCAGAGTCAAAGAGCAAGCACCACAGCAGCAGCGGCGAGCGCATCATCAGGCAGGAACGAATGAATGAATTGTGCCGGATTTTGACAGTTCGGAATGTTTTCCACATGGGGGCTCCCGGCTCAACCCTACAGTACCTTGTGTCGTGTCCATTGCGCGGCTGCACTGGCGTCGGTCGTCGGTCGATGCCGACCGTCGTTTTTTTCACGGCCTCTGTCCCGTCCGTCCCCGCCGGTGGTAAAAGCAGTAACAAACAACTCCTGCATGTGGTTCTCGTTTTCACGAGGGAAAACCTGGAGGAGGTTTGAAATGAAGGCCGATAGATGGAAGAAAAGAAAAGTGGTCGGTTGCTTTGGTGCGTAACTGGCTGGCTGGAGCATGTTTGCAGAGGCATGAATCGGTCTCTAGAGTTTACTTCCTATCCATCGAATGTTTCGACTAATTAATTGTATAGTTTACGACTAATTTACTATACGAATCTTTTAAGTCTTATTATTTCATGATTTGACAACATGGTGTTACAGTAACACATGTGTTAATAATAAATTAATTAGATTGATAAATTCGCCCACGAATTACTGACGAATCCTTGTAATTTGTTTTTTTAACACCTCC